AATGTATGTTATATCCGATATTTATTCTTATGTCTAATATAAGCGACAATATTGCTTTATTATCCGACACTATATCTAAATTACTTGTCAAAAGTGTCTTATCCAACAACATATAGTACAAAACCGCCACCATTCTCCGATACATTAAGCTAATTTTGTAGTAGTGCGATAATAGATGACTATATATGATTCGACATAATTTCATATCACAATTGAATTTCTCTCCCTTGTGAGAGTTGTTCTTTCCCCTATGTGAAAGTCTTGCTCACCGACGCGTATGGGGTTTCGTTCTCATCGATTTGCGTCGGCGCCGGCCCTAGCTTGGTCTAGGGTCGGTGACAGTCCCATGGCTTCCCTGTGTAATTTGTTTTTATGGTTAATTTGTTTTCAGCTTTGTCTAGCTCTTCCTGATGCTTGCAATTTTCCTTCCCATCTTAGCAATCTTCACGATTTCTCCCTTTCCTTCCAACTTTTGCCTTTGTTCTCACCATTTTAAGCCCTTTTCCCCAAACACCTGCTTCTTCCTTTGACTCATCCCCATCCATCATATTCTTCTTTTGGCTCCATCTCCGATTAGGTACCACCTTTGCTTACCACGATTATTCTCGGATCTCTGGGATGGTATATAGAGTTTTGGCTCAGGTGTTTGCATCACCACCCTTGTTGGTCATTCTCGTTATTCGCTCGTGTCGACGATGTTGCAGGTGGGTTTACCCCTATGTGCTTCCTTGGTATCCTAGTGGTGGTCTTGTGTTGGTCCATGGTGGTTGATGTGGCCTTTTTCTTCATCAATTTTGGATTTCTTCATGGTGAGATCCCATGTGATCATGAGGAAGGCGGATCACATAGATTTCTGGTGGCAACGACGTTACCTGCAGCTTTAGGAAGCTTAGGTTTATAAGGGTTCCTATGTATAGTTTGTTTGTGTGTAGTGGGCTCCAAGTTTGGTCATGGGCTATTTTCTTTTGTGTTTGTGGCCCATTTTCTTTTGTTGTGGACTTGTTTTGGGCCTTTGTTGTACTTATTTTGGTTGGTAATGGTATTTACCTTTTATCAAAAAAATGAAGAAGACATAATTCCATATCACATAAATCTTGGTCAGGATACGAATGATAGAACAACCAAATTGCATTGTAACTACAATCAAGGTTCGAAATAGTATCATGATTAGTTTGCGTATGCTTCTACTACTCTGAATAGCCATAACATGCTACTAGATGTCAATCATAGTTTATGGATATATGTATCGATCAAATACTAAAAAATTACAACAATTGAAACTTGAATTTATTATTTCAGCCAATTTCTCGAATTAAATTCACTTGTAATTGTTTATTATTAGCATTATTTTACAAGCATTAGGACGGAGCAAATGAATTTGGAAATTTCGGTCTCGTCCAAATTGGAAAAGCAACCATGAAGTGGATTGTTTTTTTAGATCAAATAGCAATTAATTATAAAAAAAAAAACCTAGATTTTACATAATATATACATGCGAAACGTGATCAGGAACAAAATGCCATACATATCCAAAGAAACACCATAATTATACAATGATAAACTCATCAGAAATATAATATAATTTCTCAATTACAGATGATCTATATCCAACCAACGTAAAAGATAACACTTATGAGGACTAAATCTTGCATGTAAAAAATAAAGTTACCACAAGAAAAAGACTGCATCACCCTATGATGATCTCACAATTGTCGACAAAAAACATTGCTCCTACTCTCCTCCAACAAATGTCATCAAGGTCCTCTAGAACTCCAATGTCCTCTCCATGTACCTCACCCTCCAACTCCCTAGACTTCAAATCACGCACCGCCACCATCTTTGCTCCTCCAAACGCCCTTATGAGCATGGCCAACCCTCTATTGCTTTCCTCCTATCCCAAATTCGCCCCATGATATGGTTCATCTGTAGCTGAGGAATTGTATTATATTCATGATGAGTTTCTAATTCTATAATTGTGGTGATTCTTTGGGCATGTATGACATTTTGTTTCTAATCCAGGAATTTCCTATGTGTTTTTTTCTGATTAAAGTTTTACCAAAATCACTTCCCTTGGTCCATCTGTCACAAAAAACCACCTCGCCCATGAAAACTTGACATGCAAGGAGAAAAACATGTGGCCATGTAGCTGCTTTGATCCCTAGCTGGGTCGTTCTTGAGAACCCCCTCGAAGATGTAGGCTATGGGGAGGACAAGGCCGATGAGGACGCCAAGGACGAAACGCCACTTGTATATCGTGGTTCTGTGAGAGCTCCTAAGGTTCTTGCAGATGTAGTGGAGTCTCTGGCAGTAGCTGTGTATGTTGACTTGACTTTTGATCTGGAAAAATTATGGATGGGATGTATTTGATTAGCTTCTCCTAAGTTTCCAAGCGTTTGAGGACAACGAGAGTTAATTAAATAATATCAACAACCTTGTCGCGGAGCGCAGGTGCATTGTGGCGGAGGTGGCGCTAAAGGCCGTGCCAGCCAGCCAAATGTGCTAGCCTGACATTGGCGGAGCGCAGCAGAGAGCGGCGTTGCCGATGAATTTGAGGTGCTGGTACGACGGCGATTCAGAGTAGGAGGAGTGGGTCAGTGCTCCTTTGTTCCTGAAATCGTAGCCCACGATTTGCTCCACGGACTGCTGCATTTCTGGCGACGGCTATGGGAATGATGATTTGCGGAGGTTTTTTTGTAATACTGTTTTTAATTTTTATGGGTTTTTGTTGTGTTTTATGAGGTTGGCACTTGGTAGTTGAAGACTACTACTCTTGTTGTTTTGAGTTTGAAGCACCAGATTGGTTGGTGATTAGTTGGAGTGCAAGTACTTCTTTGAGACCAATTTCAGTTCTTGAATTTAAAAATGGTCATCAATTTCTGCTCCAGATTAAAAAAAAGGATTAGCATTGATACAATTGGGAAAGGGATCCTCTCCAAATCCCTTTCACTTGAGTTAACTAAGCAAAAAATTCGGACTCTTGAAATTTGATCCAAAGGCTAAAGTTATTATAACTTTTAATGGGACCTCTTATTTTTAGCCGTTGAATCAAATTTTAAGAGCTCTGATTTCGTGCTCAGTTGGCTCAGGTGGAAGGGATATGGAGAGGATCCCTTCTCCATACAAAGAGTCTTCCGTGCGTACGAAAAACCAAGTGAATGTTGAGACTTACGTGGATAGCTTAATAAAGAAAGGAGAACGAGCTCTCGGAGTTGACAGTTTGATCCACCCATAGAAAAGTAAGAAGGTTTGGGACCCATTAGTAATAGGTGTATCAGAGGTATTATCCAAATATCTATTTTTACTTCTTACACACTTTTTTGTTAATTTTTATTATGTGATATTCTTCAATTTATTTAATCCGACAATAGTACGTGGATAGCACCACCCAAATGTAAACTCATATATTTAGGGCTACTAAAAGCCAAACTTCGGGTATATGAACACTAAATGTCACCCAATCCTCGAAACATAAATTTCAGGGCCTAAAATATATTAATTGTGGTGGAATGATTTTAACCCTAATTTTTTTGGTTAAGAATTTTTGTTGTAATTTTGAATTATGTTATCTTAATTTAATTTTATGAATGTTTTAATCTAAAAAAATCTAAATTCCAACAAAATTTTCAAAACCGAACAAATCATATCAACCAACCAAACTTCAATATACAAAATGGTAGATATGCCCAAAGAATCGCCACAATTATACAATTACAAACTTATCAGAAATGTAATATAATTCCTAAGCTACAGATGACTTATATCCAACCAACATAAAAAATATAACACTAACGAGAACTAAATATTGTCTGTCAAAAATAAAAGTAACGAGAAAAAAACTGCACTACATATGGTGATCTCAAAAAGCCATGACTACGAGTCTCCTCCAACAAATGTTGTCAAGGTCCTTTAGAACTCCAACTTCCTCTCCACGTATCTCACCCTCCCAACTCCCTAGACTTCGAATCCCCCGCCGCTACGATCTTACTCCGCCGAACGCCAACTTCATGCGCCTTAGTAAAATCACTTTTCGTTTCAATCTTACAATTGGTTCATTGCTAACAACCTGGATAGGATAGCAGGTTTTGAAATTAATCGACTTTTTGCACTCAACACCCTCAAGTTCCTCCGCCCAACACCAAGATCTCGGCTTTCAGTTTTTTCCTTTCTTTATTCTCTTATATTTTCTATTTGGTCGCTTTAATTTTAAAATTTAATTTAATATGTTTAGTTCATATGACGTATAAACGAACACCTACGAACGTTCCAGACCTTCGGTTAGAAGATGCGATTACGAGATAGAAACTTAGAGCCAAATTGGTAGAGTAAGACCTAGGAAAACTTGAACAAATACTCTAAGAAAAGATTTGGACTTCTTGGATCTAAGGAAAACATGGCACAAAACTAATCGCAATGGCGTTCTAAAATTCATATAACCGACATGACTTAGTGGGATGTTGTTGTTGTTGTCGTTGTCGTCGTAATTCATATGATGTGTTACCACATAAACAACCTTGAAGTCACATAACTTGAAGACATAAATAAATATAACAGATATTTAACAAACTTGGCGGAATCTAAAAGAAGTCGGACGAAAAATAAGTTCAAGGGTATTACGTGCCGAAACTAGAGTGTCAGGAAGAAAGGTGAGGTTGAAATCGAGTTTTGGGGTATAACAAAAAGTGAGCCTACTACTAACATGTTGACAACTGTAAATTTGAATTGTTCTTTTTCAATGTCAGTGAAAACTCTGAAGTTAACTTCGTAAATAGTGAGTTCGATATCAATTTATTCCCCTTAGTATTAATATTATCAGTGAGACAGTGACGAATAAATGTAAACCTACTAACACTCTAATTAGGATGAATCAAAAGTTGACAAAGAAGATTGTGTGCCAACCAACAAGGATCAATACCGGCGTCTTGTTGGACGGTTATACACCCTTTTGAATGATCTCGTGTGAAGGACAAGCAACTTTTGTGGGTTTAAAACATTGCTTAAACTTTTAAACAAATTTATCATCTTTCACTTATAAAAATATTACTTGCATAACAAACGCCTTCTGAATGAGAAACTTCACATAACAAATTAACAATGTATGTGAAAAATGGAATTCGAGATATCAATGCCCTGTAAGAAACATCATTTTATCTAATAGACTTGATTTGTTGATGAACTTCTTACACGTTCTTTCTGCCGAATCTCTGTCTGCAAGCTTTTGGTATTCTTCAACTTTGTCCAAGTTGAAGTGAAGAAATTCCATTTGCAAATCCAGATATGTAACTCCCAATTCTCTACAATTTCACATCGTTTCCCTTGAATGAACCATAAAGAGGTTGTGAGCTTCTGAAGCTTAAAATATCGTCTATTTTGACGCTGCTAGGTTGCAGCGGTGAACTTTTATCTGTCATGTACTCGGATGAATGTGAGTTCCCGTACACACGTACGCTTAATGACCTCTTTTGAGGAGCACCGACCTTTATATGCTCATTGAAAAAGTCCATCATTTCTTGCTGTGTAAGCTGCCTCAGTGCTGCAATCTGTTTCAAGTTTCAACCACATTAATAGGGGCCACATTTTCTTTGCTGCTTTTTTCATTCTTAAGGTTCTTAAACGTTTACTGTTTTCTGCTAACTAGTTTGTAATGTTACATGAATATATCATGAATTATTGTCATGAAAAGGATGAAAGGCATCAATCACCTCGAATTGTACAAGTATCTTAAAACATTGAACTCAAGTTAGGGAGATATCCATACCTCAGACTCTTTCCTATCAAACTTGAAGGTCCCAACAGATATCTCCCCCCAATAAAATCCAGCTTCTTCCCTTAAGTTCCTGTGCTTCTCAAGCTTCATGTCGATCAAAGCATTTACATTGCTCTACATAACAACCAGGTCAACAGTTATGTATTGGGAAAAAATAATATATGACATCGAACAATAAAAATCTTCTTTTTCGGGTTCACATTTTATCTAGAAGTGATTGAACATTGATATTGAAAGACATCAACTATCTGTAAATGGGGATACGAATCATCGCAAGAAAGACTGATGGAAGGGTGAAGATGATATGAGTGAGGAGAATAAACAAGGCAGACAGACCGATGCAAGGTAAAAATGGTATCACTTACAAGCAAGCCTAATGATTTTCCATACAAAAGAGACTAAAGCTGCATAAAAGATGCAGTGAAACCAGAGAACCGAAGTTAAGGATAGAGCCTAGTTGATCTCACCTTGAATTCGTCATTTGGCATCTCATAAAGTTTAGTCTTGAACCCCTTAAGGAATTCCTCCACTCTCAAATCGGTATGTGCTGGATCCTGTTAAGATCAACATAATAACGTACTTTGGAATAGGTAGATAAAACAACAGGGCAACAATAATAGAAGCATGACCAACCTTCACTTTCGATTGTATAATAAACTGCACCCCACGAACACCAGAATCATTCCTGCATTAGGACAAGAGAAAGGAACATAACTGAGAAAAAATAAATCACAAGATGATTAGATGAGGCGTGAAATTTAGGGATAAGGCATTTGAATTTGTTTCATGCCTCGGCTGGAGGAACGTGATGTAACCAAGTTGCTCAACAGATCTCAGCTGGTGGAAGGCAGCCTGCTCTGCCATACGAACGAACAGCTGAAGTTTCACATTTAGCATAAAATCATCCCGATGAACCTACATATATTAACATAATTGTGTTTAAAAACAAACACAAAAACATGTGCTGCAAAAAACTCAGCAGGAACACTTACAAGGTTTAGAACCGCACCTCTAATAATATTCAAATTTCCTGAAATATAGTTTCTATGATGTTTTGAAGAGTAAACAGAGAAGAAATTGCTGGATTAAAAAATTTCAGTGGAAACTCTTACAAGGTTTTGTGAAGTTCGGATGAGAAGATACAAAATGAAAACTAGAGTCTATATCTTCACTGAAGCAAGGATCGAGAGACTCTAAACCACACCAACAGAATCTAGTTTATTCCTTATGTAAACAAATTTAAGAACCTGAATATAGTGGAGAAGGGCAGAATTCTCGTCACTTGGATTAAGGCCTTCCACAGGGTAAAAATAGCTCTTGCCCCTTTCAAGCTTCACGACTCTATTCATTAAATGCTGGGATGGGAATAAAGGTTGGCACATAGGTTTTGAGCCCTTAAAGAAGACTTCTTCAATATGTTCGATCATTGACTCAGCTTCGTTCCTTTCAAGGTTTCCTGAAAAAAGCATAAAACTAAGGAACACTAACATGAAGAAAACAATGTAAAACCTAAGTCGTTTGAAGGGAAAAAAAATACGGGAACCTGCTGTATAACACTCTACGAAGGCCCTCGAGAGCATTAGAGGAACAAACTTGGCAAGATCTTCAACTTGAAGGTGAGGAAGAGCTTCAAGATTTTCTGTCCATGGAAAAGTATGATCCTTTAGAATTAATGAGCAGTATTTCCCAGCCTGCTGATTAGGCTGTTGAAATTTCAAGTTTTGGTACTGCTTTGTGACCATTTCCTGATATGGCAAAACCACAGATAACAAAAGTAAGATATGATTAAAGACACCACTGTAGATATCAGATTCCCAATCGCTTCATGAATTGACCCTTTTTCTTTCATGAAACTATGATGGTTAAAGAAATTACCATATGGATAAAACCAATGCAGTTCAGAAGAAAAGGTGTTCGGAAAAGGTTAAGATATGCAGATACTAATCCACTTACTGGACCACCAATGACAGAGACCATCAAAATGCTCATATAGTAAACTTCAAAAGATAACAGATTAGTAGGCACAAGCAGCCTTAAGGTTACCTTGATAACGGCAAACCTATCAGATTTCACTTTAAAGCTTGCGATCTTCTCAACTACAGTTTCCAGTAAAATCCTCAATTTGTGATTATAGCCAACGAGAGTCACCTGCACAAGAAAATATAAGTTCACAAGAAAACTTACAGAAACAAAACAACTATCTAAAGAACCGGCTAGCAAGTTTCACATTGTTGGACACCGTACCTGAAACCCACTAACCGTGTGGTTTACTCCATAAGACAGTCCAGCAACACGAGCATAGTAAGCTGACAAAGAAAGAATGAAGTAAACTCTTGTTCAGGAAAATAACACTTTTTGTGTAACCGTGTAAACGACAAACATTATAAGTCACCATCAAAGGGAAGCAAGTAATTAACTATATATACAGAATTTTACCATGTTCATTCAAGTAATCCATCCACAACCGAGTAAAAATATTAGTTAGGACTTCTGTTTCAGGGGAGGCACTTGCGTGGGGACAAGTGAAAGCAATTTTAACGTAAGCCTTCGGAGTAAAGAACATTGTATCAGGCTTGTACCACAGTGTTGAATACGGGGACTTTCTCAACAGAACTGGATATTTGGCCTGAAAAAAATAAATAAATAAAAAATCATTCGCACCAGAAGCATTTAAGTGTTGTGCTACTGCTAACATAGAGATAGATTGTACCATTCATCGCACCTTCTCAAGATCATTCTTAAGCGAAAAGTCAGTGGGAATGAACACATTACGGGCTGGTAAGTGCAGATTCTCATTTGGGGAAGATAATATCCATTCCTGCAATCAAATAATAAAATTTCAAGAGGCTTCCTCTTATTCCCTTGAAAAGACTCACAACATCTCTAAAGTCTAAACTGATGAAATTTACAAAAAGCACCATATGCATTCTTATTGCCCTGAAAAAGAAAACAAAACTGCTTGATTGACATAGAGAACCCATAACCAACCTGAATCATGGAGCCATTAATTCTCTCGACGGAATAAGCAGTTCCATACCATGGCTCAGACATGTTAGTATGACCTTCAAATTTCTTTGACTCCCAGAAAATTCTGTACAACGAAATGAACATTACTCCAGAAATTCAGGAGGAAACTTACTAGAATTATTCTACTTGGAAAATAGACTTTCACCTCAACAAGCTCTAAAGAATCCATCTTAGTCATAGACTTACCTGACGTTGTCTGAAGAAAGCTTGCTCAGCACCATTTGAATAATGTACGGACTGAAGTTAGAAGGCAAGGATGATCTAACTAGCCAATCTTTTGGGGGATATTTCTGTATATGAACTTATCATGTGACTAATAAGCACGTGAATATTAATTACCGCGCTAAATAATTCCTCTTGCCCACAATTTCCCACAAAGAAATAAAGGGTAAAGAATTTCTTCAGAAACAAAAGAACTTTTGACAATATCAACAGTACAATAAAGGGAACAGGCAGCCCCCTGAAGGTACAAATAACTAGCAATACACTAACATCACAGCGCCACCTAAATTAACGAACTTAAGAAACAGCAGCTCCCAAATTCACTTGAGACCGATGTCCACAAAGCTGCCCAGAAGTTACTTAAAAAATGCTCCAATTTAAACTTAATTCATTTCAGTGTCCTTAACAGGAGCACGAGCATGACTAAACGAAAGCCTAATACCTGCATATTTGGCGAAATGCTGACCACATAATTAATAGGCTGAATTTTGTCCTGATAATGAAACTTCGTCTCGCAAACAGCAGAAAGCTACAATAAATAATAGTCCTTTCAGAGTCCTTGAGAAAGAATCAGAAGACAATTTCCACACTGAATTTTGTACATGAAAATTAACAAAAGTTCTCTATGATTCATTCGTCAAATCAAACCACATAAAACTGTTTAGAATTATAGAAATAAAGAGAACAAGGTGATGAATCATATAAGTGCACCCGGTTTAACCCCTGGAGTCTTTGATATGACACTACCAACCAGAAGAAATCATCCTTAAGACTTCTGTCTTCTTTAACGATGACTAATCAAGAATTAATATGAAACCGTGACTTATTAACCATGTTGTTGCTAACACTATACACCAGTGATTCATACTGTGAAAAATACTACACTTGATCGTAGACAAAATTTAGAGGAAGGTATCATACACCAGTAATTCATAAACTTGAACGCATGAAATTACACATGCATACCTCATCAAAATCCATTTGCAGACGCCACACTGCTGTAAGAGGGAAATGTATTTGAAAAGCAAGCCTACTATGTCTTGTATGTGGTCTGAAATATAAGTAAAAAAAAGGCTAGAAATGAAAATACAGGTTAAAGGAAAGCTTCCCTACAAACAAAAATACAAGCTGTCTTAAGGGTAAGTGGAAAACGCTTCCAAAACGAAATGAAGCCTAAAGAGAGAAAAGTCCAAACTCCAAAGTCCAAAGTCGAATCCAAAAATGAAAAAGCTAAAAACTAAACTAACCATGACCCGCATCAGTGAGATCAATATCTACTTTAAAGAAAGAAAATTCCAAGTCGAATCTGATTCCCCAGCAGACAAACCTGTTGCCCATCCTGCAATTATTTTAGAACAAAACAAAAATTGAAGTTAGATTTAACCAAGTTTATTAACTTAATCCATCCTTTTAGTGGGACAATTTTGTTGGATTTTTGGATTGCCGGGCCCGTGAGGCTCCACTCTAACAACACTGATACTGTCTCCAACTTTACCACCTGCCCAATTCGTCAGGTGTGGGGTTTAATCACAAAAGGCCTCGATATTAGTTAGGGTGGGGCAATCATACCTCATCAACGAATTTTCATCTAGACAAGCTGCTTGTCCAGCCCCAAATGAAGAACTAAAACAGAAAAAGAAAAGCGAGCAGCATCAAAAAGCACTAAATGCTCCAAACCACGATCATAATTAATTCATGTTCTTAGTTTGAAATCTGCGTCTAAATAAAAAATAGAGTTTTGTTCCTCGTTTTTGTTTTATCAAAAAGCTCTAAAAGCCAATTATGGGGGATCATGCTAATCCTACTACCAGTAAATCATCCTGCACCTTCTCCGAGAGAGGTTTAAAATGATAAAACACTGAAGTGTAGGATGACAAAAGGGAACTGTGAATAATGGCTGCCACCCTGCAAAATTATAAATCATCTCAACACAAAGAGTAAGTCTATGAAGGGCATTGAAATGAAAATTATGACCAAAGTTTCCCTCAAGAGTTCCAAGTACAAATACCATCTGCTAGAGAACTCGTTATCTGAATGCAACAGATAATCCAAAACTCACCCAAAGTTTTCAACACCGCATACAAAGATCCCTTTGCTTCATGGTGAATGAGATGACTAAGATACCTACATGGCCCTTCCTTGTAATGGTGAATTTCCGGAGTTATTGGCCACACAACTCTCAGCTTATGACCCTCTTTGATTGGGACAGTTTTGACAAGAATCTGAAATAAACACAGAACAGAAACGAGGAAAGAATTATCCGTCTGAATATTGTATGTCCTGAAAGCAAGTTCAACTTAGCATAAAAAGCTTAGCAGAACCATGTGTACCTGTAAATGTTCTGATGTGCATGGCTCGCCGCCAAAACGAAGGCAGTTGCGGTCAATGTTTCGAATATCCTTGAACTTGTCCTCTACTGTGGCTTGAAGTTTGTCAAGGTTTTCTGAAACACCCATAGAGATAATTCTGTAACTTGACCACAGGGCAGTTGAATTGAATTTTTATATATGAATGTAGCTAGAAACCTTTTCCATAAATGACAAGATGCATGACGTTAGCGGAATAATATTGTTTATAGAACTTAATAAGCTCTTCTCTGGTATCCAATCCTCTTGCCTTTGGCCGGACGTCCAAAGTTTCCCAATTCCCTGAACAAGTTTAGAAAAGTAGGCACCATAAGAGACATAGTAGACATTCGAAACCCCAAACAAAGAATAGACAGCGGTATTCTCATCAGAATAATCTATATAATTTCCATAGTCCCGGAAATCAGAAAAGAAGCTGAAAATCATCGGTAACCAGCCAAAAGATACAGTTTTTATGGAGAAGGGTCATTTCTTCCCAAGTATGAGTGGTTTGAGGCAGATTTCAGTAAGAGGACTGTTTAATTATTATCAAGAGTTAAATGCTGACCTGTACTAAATTTATGGTATGGATGGTCCGCAGAACTTAGATGTTTCTGAAGCTGTACATAGACAAATCATGCGGAAAAAGGTTAGAGACCTCTCGGGGAGACATAAATGGAAACACTGCAACCATAAAAGTTGAAGAACTGCTTCAAACATATGCTTTTCTTCAACAAAACTAAATGCAGCCTGAATGTCAATAATAGCATTGGTGTTGTGATGGTCATTCAATGGCTATGATCCAAAAGCAAGTCGTACCCATTTTAGTCTCCGTCCATCAGACAACAGGTTATTTTGATTCTCTGTACCACCACATACACATTTGTCACTAACAGTAAATTAAACGAAAAATTGAGTATTAAAAAAATGAAAATGGAGCCGCTAACCAGAATCAACAGCTTTAATTTCCCTCATTGTAGCATCAGCCGACATCAATGGGTTAATAAAGAACTGAGCAAATCTGAACAACAAAACAACACATCAACGCGGTGTTCACCTTTTATAATTGTTATGATAAAGATAACAGCTAACAAAGAAAGAGCAGCATCAACCTGTCTAAAGCCTCTTCAAAACCATCGGAATTAATGTCAAAATAATAGTTCGTGTTCTCAGAAGCTGTATAAGCGTTTCTTCGTCCTCCATGCTGTGCATAAGGGAAATAAAACACACAGGTTAAAGAAACAACATAAGCAAACAATCTCTGGAACCCTTATCAAAAAGATAAGTAACGTGTACAGAAATAGAATCTGTTAAACATTGTCTTTCTGTACTTCCGTATTACCACATAAACATATAAGAACATAAATTTCTCCAACGGATTTTTGTCATATTGGAGAGTCCGTGAGGGACAATTTAGCAAAAAAGCATCGGAACAAAACTTATCTTACAGAATTTGAACAGATGTGCAAAAAGAATAGGAGAAGATCTAGCTAGTCAATCAAAATCTCATATCTGATTCATCAAACAACATCAATAAACAGGACCATTGCCAATGAATGAAAAGTGGATTGAAGACATGATAGCGCACAACGTAATCACAATTCTGTAAACCAATACCATACCTAAAGCACAGTCATGAACTAAAAAAACATAAAACAGTAATAAGAACACCTGTCAAAAACCCATGAATTATCTTCAAACTAAGAAGAAATCTGATCTCTCAAATACGTTTCTATTCCCAAGTTCTTTGCCTACATGCAATCAAGCATTGTAACATTTCCATAAAGTTTGATAATCAGAAATAGCAAGTGGAGGAGGATGGAAAACATAAGCATCCATCATATTAGTATTTATCGAGTGCTTTACAGAAAGAAATCCAAAATGTATGATGTGTTTCAGTGAAATTTGCAGTAAGTACCTCGCTGATGTACTTGGAGTAACTATCCTCCGAAGGGTACTTTTCACTCGCATAAAACAGCATATGCTCTGCCCAAAAGTACAATATTCAGAAAGGAATGTCAACAAACATCTTATTCTTTTCAACACCAATGCCATGAAAACTCATTAACAATAAGTCATGCAAATATGTTATAAACTCTTCTAATTCAGTCATAAAAAACATTATACATATAAAACTCCTTCACTGATCTATAATATAACAAACCTGATTTGTTTTATTGGATATACAACGATATATTTTTAGACTAAGGAGTTGGGAAATAATCTCCAACCCGATTTGAAGAAGAATATCGTTAGACTGTAATACTCTATGCCGCGGAATTAAAGAGACTACCGTGTACCATGATAAGATTATCCACTGGTACCCCAAAATGGCATCAGACTAAACTACAAGTGCCTTTTTTTAGTATTGAAACTTTTTTACAAACCATAGCATACAAAATTTAGTATCCATATACAAGAACAAACCAAGAGAGTATTAAACAAAAAACGGACACGGGTTTATGCTAGTTGGCAACGACAGTGTGTCCACCCACATTCACAGCTAAGTTTAAATCCTCGTCATGTAGATTAAAATAGTTTAAAATATCATCTTGTCAAAAGATTAAAGGAGACTTAAAGTTACCAAGGAAATGGGCAAGGCCCTCCAGGCCATCAGGGTCGCTGAAAGCACCAACGTTGACATCCATGGAAGCAGCACACTGAGGAAACACAAGTTAAACAAACAAATAAACTAATAAAAACAGAAAGAAAAAAAAATATTGTAAATTAAAAGAAAAAGAAGAAGAAGTTCTGCCTTGTCAGTATCATGATCGCTGATGAGGAGAACTTCGAGGGAGTTCGGGAGGACAATCCTCCTGTACTGCCTCTTATCCGTTCGGGCTTTCAGTATTTCCTCCACCACCACCTCTTCCTTGTTCCCCACTGCCATTCTTTCTGAATTCTCCTCGTCTTCCTCTCCAACTAAACAAGAAACGCAGTGGAAGTCAACTTAGAAATTTGGCAAGACGATGGGAAGGTTGAAATACATCGATTCAACCATAACCGGTTGCTTGTAATGAAAAATACAGTTATCAACTATTAAGTCAACTATTTTGGTCTTCATCCAGATGAAGGTTATTGAAGCTTCTGGTGGCCGGCACAATCCATATGTTAACTCAATATATTCACGTGCTTAAAAATTTATTTAGTTAACTAAGTGGCGGTTTTTTTAAGAAACCTCAGTATGAGGAGAATGTTATTGATAACGAAAAACAAGTTACATCTAGTCAGGGAAGACATAAATCTAACCTCTAATAATATAAGAAAAATGGATAAAAAATACATGAAAAAGAATGATAGACATAAACTTTACCTTTCTACAAATGCAGTAATAAAGATACAAGAAAAAAGGGAGGGGGAGACATAAAACCTAACCTCTCTAAAACCAAACTTAAAAGTCTAAACCTGCAAAACAGATTAAGCAACATCACGAGGTTAAGGAAAAAAAAAAGAGAAAGTGAGTCAAACTTGTATGTTGATATGCAAATTAATTTGAGAAGCGGTAGCCAGGAAAGCCAGCATAGTCTGAAAACAAAGCAGCACGAGCCACCAATGGAGGGGAATCATGCCATACTAAGGTTGGAGAAGACAAGCCCATGTTAGTAAAATTGTCCGCAACAACATTTTCTTCGCGATATATGTGAGAGGCATAGAAAGTCATATTCCGAATGCGATCCAAACAAATAGACTATTGCGTACAAAGAGGCCAAGAAGGATCAAAATCAATCAATTGGAGAACAGAAATAACACTAGAAGAGTCACTTTCCAACCAAAGATAATGTCAACCCCGCTTACATGCAAACTCTACACCACTAATAATTGCTGATAATTCCGTAAAGAAAAAGTTGCAATGACTAATCCCTTGGCAAAAGCCACCAAGAAATTGACCATGGCAATCCTTGAAAACTCGTCAACAAGCTACAAGACCAGGATTTCCCTTGGACAACCCATCTGTATTAAAGTTTAATCCAAGGAGAAGACCAAAGCATAGGAAGAATAGTTGGCGCTTAGCGAGGGATAGGCTGGATCCCCAAAGAAGAATGATACAAGTATCAAAATCTTGAGAATAACCAGGAATGAAGTTCTCACCATGAATGATCCTAGAATTGATAGACATGCAAAGATGATGAAAAATAGATTGGGTGACCCTCAAAAATAAACTTATTTCGAGCTTTCCAAATAGCCGAAATAGTAGAAAGACCTGCAAAAATCCAGAGATTGTGCAACTATTGGGAAAAGGGCTTACGTCCGTAGGCATCCCAAAAAGCAACCAGAGAATCTGAAAAAGACAAAGAGGTACCAAATTGACATGCTAGCCACCTCCAAAGCTGCTTAGATATCTGACAACCGAAGAAAAGGTGAACAATATATACCTCAGAATTATGACATAACAACAAATGGTGCCAAAGAAATACCATGTCGTTGAAGTGCACCTTCAGTAGGAAATTTGTCATGAAGAAGTCACCAAGCTAAAATAGACAGCTGAGGTGCAACAAAATGTCGCAAAATAACCTCAACCCAAGCACAATCACTACGTTTTCGTCAAATAAGATGATAGCCAGAAGAAAAGGAAAATTTCCCAATAGATGTAGGCTCCCAAATCAATTTTTCATCCTTTATATTTAAAGATATAGGTAAATGTAGAATTTGCTGCACTACAGAAGGGAATAAATCTACAAAATAATCTAGCAAATACAAACTTTGAGCTTCAATAACATTTGAAACCCTAGGAAGAACTATAGGTGCAATGATCGAAGATAATGAAGGGCCAATAATCGGGCTCTCCAACCATTTGTCGATCCAAAAGGAAACTAACTTCCCATCACCAATAACCCATTGAGTATTATTATTCAGAACACTTCAACCCATGCCACACAGAAGACTGTAAATAGATATCTTTTTTTTTATAAGGTGCAAGAGGAAAACGTTGACGAGCGAATGAACCCCACAAAGAAGAGGATTGTAAAGCATCCCAGCCAAAACTAATCAAAGCCGTCAAGTTCAAAGTAGTTAAGTCCTGAAGACTCAAGCCACCTTCATGCTTAGGTCCACACACCATACTTCAATCAACAATTATTAGCTATCATGAAGCCAAGTCCCCTGATCAAATAAAATTTTGTGCACAAACAAAAAGATGCTTTAAAAGTCAAATAGGACATTGATAAACTAAGAAGCTAAAGGCAAATAGGACATTGATAAACTAAGAAGCTATGGAGAAACAAGCTTTGATAAACCGATTGCACCAATTGTAGTCGTCCAGCCATTGAGAGAAGTTTACCTTTCCAACTTGAAAGATGAGCTTTAGCCTTATCCACTAAAGCTTAAAAGTGAATTCTCCTTGGCTTTACCACAAAAAATGGGTACTTGAAGATAAGTGAAAGGAACAACACCCATACGAAAGCCAAGATGTCTCGAGACATGCACTCTACGATGGGCAGAGGTGGAGCTGAGATAAAAAGTACTCTTAGTTGCATTAACAAGTTGTCCCGATGCACAACCATACTTATCTAAAAACTTTCAAAGAGAACAAAGAGATCGAATATTCCAACCACAAAAAATAAAACGATCATTAGTATATAACAAATGAGTTGGAGAGCAACAACCCCATGGAGCTGAAATAGTAGTGTTGTCCAGTAGAGAAAAGCAAAGATAAACCTCTACTCATAGCTTCCTCTACTAACAAAAAATAAAAAAGGTAGTGGAGAAAGAGGGTCTCCTTAACGTACACCTTGAGAAGAAGAAAAAAAACTCATGTGATGTGCCATTTACCAAATAGAAAGACGATTGGACTATCATAAAACATGCACCCAACCCACAAAAATACAAGAAAATTCAAAGTTAAAAAGCACGTGGAGAAGAAAATTCCAATTTAAAGTATCAAAAGCTTTAGCAATATCGATTATTATCGACTTTTATGAACGAAAACACTTTTGGTGGTAAGAAGTGGTGAACTATGTTAAGGGTTCAATTTTATGTACACCCAAAAAGGGTTTTAGCCGTATTTCTTTCTAGTACTGTGTGCATGATGCCGTGAGTAATCCTACGTGGAAAGAAGTGGCGAATAAAGAGATGAAGGCACTCGAATAGAATTCAACGTGGGAAGATGTGGACCTACTTAGGGAAAAAATGCTTATTTTAAGTTACGCTATCTGAAATTTGATTTTAATCTTACTTTATTATCTATAATTCAAAAGTTACAATTTTATTTTTTGAAAGTTAAAATTTGCTTCATTTTATCTTTGAAACTCGATTTTGATCCAATTTGCCCCCTAAAATTTGAAAGTTGTCTCTATAAAATTCAAAATTCGTTCCATGTTGCCTTAAATCTGTTAATTTCTTATGTGAGTTTGATGTGGTTGAGCCAAGCTAATCAATTTCTTTTTTATTTTTTTCATCTCTTTAATTTCTTTTAAAATTAATATTCTCTAATTGTTGAATGTTGACGCATAGTGGAGTAAGTCAAAGTGAAACAAATTTTGAGTTTCAAGGAATTAAAGTGGTGACTTTTAAGTTACACAGGGCAAAATGAGATTAAAATGGAGTTCCAAGAAGCATAGCTAAAAATAAGCCAAGGAAAAAAACATGTCCGATGCCGGTGAATTTACACCAAGCATGAAGCCGATGGAACTGTTGAACGATTTAAGCTAGACTAGACGCAGACTTATGGAATTAACTACATAAAGCCATTTGTGTCTTGCAGTTTGTGTCAGTAAATCTGGATTGACGACTGCATCGATTTGATATGAAGAATGCATTTCTACATGGAGATTTGAAGGAAGTATACATGAAATTGCAACCTGTGTGTAATATGCAAATGGAAAGACTAGATAGGTGTGTACAAACCAAGAAAGTCTTTGTATGACTTGAAGCAATCTCCGAGAAGGAAGGCATTGAATATAGACATAGCAACATGGATCGCACTCTATTTGTGAAGCACACTAAGAACAAATTTAGGGCCTTTATTGTGCGTGTTGGTGACATGAATGATTCAGAAGAAAGAAAAACATTGCAAGAGTACTTCGGGCCGCAAGTTTGAGATGAAAGGTTCTTGGTCCCTCGTAGTCGTCTCATGTTTATTGAGAAGTTTGAATATTGAAGGCGATACAAATCTTTACTTGAAAGGAGCCATTTGAAAATTTCTCACATTCCTTTATAATGCTCGTGGAGGGTTATCTCTTCTATTTAACATTTTGTTATGAGGATCCGGAGATCAATTAATTGTATCTGTTTATCGTATATTGTATGGTCAGTTTTCGTTAAGTACTATTTATATTTAATTTTAAATAAAACTTCAAAATAATTTCTAACAATATATCGAACGGGCTTGATTGATTGATCATTCGGATCTCCACAAAGAGCATCCGGAGAGGATCCTATTCCCCCAAACATAGCCTAGAGCGTCTGCGTCTCAAAGAAAAATATTACATACATTATAAATGCATTGTGTATGACAAACTGCATATTCTGAATCTCTTATTTGGATAAACAGATAACGAAAGAAATATTCTAAGTTTGGCCACTTGGAATCCAATTTTTTTGTTTCATACAAGGTCAAATGTACGAAAACAATGGAATTCAAAATATCAAATTCCCCAACATTATTTTGATATACGGTACTTGCTTTGTCGATGAACTTCGTGGGCGATCTTTCTGCCAAATCTGCTGTCTGCAACCGATGCTATTCTTCGACAATTTTGTTGAAGTTAAGCGATTCCATTTGCAAATCCAGATATGTAATTCTCGAGTCTCTACAATTTCACATGGTTTCCCTTGAATGAACCATAAAGAGGCTGTGACCTTCTGAAGCTGAATATATCGTCGATTTTGACAGAGCAAGGTTTCACCGGTGAACTTTTATCCGTAGTGTACCCGGATGAATGTGAGTTCCCATACACTCGTACACTTAATGACCTCTTTTGAGGTGCCCCAACTTTTATATGCTCATTGAAAAAGTCTCTCAATTCTTGCTGCGTAAGCTGCCTCAGTGCTGCAATCTGTTTCAAGTATCAACACTACCATTAATACGGGGACACATTTTCTTTCCTGCTTTATTTATATTTCGTTCCAACGGTTCTTAATCATTTTTAATTTATATTGATCAGCTTGTAA